CGATGTGACCTTCAGTTTGACCGGCGCATAGTAGAAAAGAACAGCACTAGGCCAGAAAAGGAAGGAGACAACTTTCGGCCAAACTCTTAACCGGTAAGGAGCGTATAATCCGTACAGTACTGCACGGAAAAATTGACCATTTTATCCACTACAATTGTATTATTCAAATGTGCTGTTATTGGTACCATTTACTACTGAAAATATCAACGAGATGTTTATTTATATTTGAAGACATATTAAAGGCTTCAACGCTTGTTTTTGACTCGCACTACTATTCATGATTGAACAAAACTTTTGGCAGGTACTGTGTGAAAAAGTATGTTTAATAAACAAGAGTCGAGAGTATAATGAGCTTTTTTCTCCGTACCTACGATTTTGCCAGCGCGCATCCAAGAAATTGGAAGGGGCACATCGCTAGAGAAAGTAAATGAAGTATACCTACCAGTTAAATTGCCTTTCCAATAAACAATATTAAACACGTTTTTGCATTTATCGCCACTTGTTAAAGGCATAACTATTTTGGGGTGAACATTAAGTAATAAATAGCCGGACATTAAGGACGCGTGAATTATTTTACAAGGGCGCAGAACCTTAAAAAATCTACAAGCATCGAAATATTCTACGCGAGAGAAGCCCGGATAAACGTTAATATGAAAACTGGGTAGGGGAAGCCGGGTTATTTGGCATTTGAGGCTACACTTAACACACAGCTGCAAGGTCCACCTTTCACCCTGTTTTATCGTTTTTCTGATTGGCGAGTACATTTTTTATCCTAATGTCGAACTGAGGCGCTGGTGATAGAAATTTTCTGAAGTGTGGTTAACTGTGGTTGCATGCATATATTGTGTTGTATCCATCTTGTTTTGGATAATCCTCCTTGGAAGGAACTCTATTTTATTATTATGATGATTCTGACTGGCGAGTAAATTTTTTATCCTAAAATCGAATTAAGGAGCTGCTGGTTGCAATTTTTTAAAGTGTGGTTAACCGCGATTACGTACATATACATATCCATAATCTTTTGATTCTGATGTTTGGGATTGTGTGGTATCCATCTTGTTTTGGATATCCCTCATTGGAATGAACCCTGTTTTATTATTGTTTTGACTGGCGACTAAATTATTTATCCAAAAATCGAATGGAAGAGCTGCTGATCGCGATTTTCTGAAGTGTGGTTAACTGTGGTTGCATGCATGTATTCAAAATCTGTTGTTTCCGATGTTTTGGACTGTGTGGTATTCAACTTGCTTTGCACATTTCCCTTCCCCATCTGGTTAGTTGACATAGTTAGAAATGTGGAATTGACATACCCATGGTAACTCGCCCCAATGAGTTATCCAAAAAGAATTTGGATACCACACAATACGATACATTAGAAACAAAAGATTATGATACATGGGGATATTTGGATACAACCATAGTTAACCAATCTTATATAAAGCACCTTCAGCAACGCCTCAATTCAATCTACAGATTCAAAGCAATTTACGATAAAGCTAACCATTCAGTCATAAAAATAGTAAAGAAAAAGAGAAATTTTAAATATGAAATATTCTCAATTTTTACCCACTACACACTTCCTCAGATTAATGAGGAAAAATTTGTTGCTGTTGTCACACCCCTGTCGGGAATCGAACCCGGCCTCATTAATTTGAGGAAGTGTGTAGTGGGTAAAAATTGAGAATATTATTTCATATTAAAAACTAACTCACTTCGGGAAGATTTCTACATTGTATGTATATTTATAAAAAGAGAAATATTATTCCATGACGCTTTCAAACATATGAGTCAATTTGGTATGACCAAGATAAAATTAAAAAACTGAACTATTAAAAAAAAATACAACGCGTAATTATACAACACGCTACTGAAGTGAAACTTCTTCTAACACACAAAAATACCGGGATAGGGGTTAAGGAATTGGTTTATTGGTATTATTTGTATTCTATGAATTTAAATTTTACACTATACATGCCGGAGTTGCCTGTAACGAACGTTGCATTGAAGCGCGCTCACGGCTCAAGCGATCCCCACTACGAACTCGACTACGTGACCGAGTAAAGGGGGGACATCCGTTACATGATTTCGTTACATAGCAACTCGCATAAAACGAACTTACCCTACCGTACGTAAAGAAGTTTCACTTAAAAAAAACGACTACCAATTGCTACATTCGTGGTGCAGGGATATTAAAAACTGAGCTAATTCTGCCTGAGTAACTACGGAGAGATATAATACGTATATTTTTAATAATTTATTGTTTGTTAATACGTTCATATATTTGTTTACACATTTAAGCAAATTTTGTCATTCATGAAGTATCATTTTTTATAAGGAATTTATTTTTTGAAGAATATCTTTTTTTTGAAAGATTTAATAAAAAAAAAAATCGTTTTTCCTCGCAGATTGTTATGTTCTGTTTAAGTATCCCTTAAGTATTCCTATCCCTATCAGAATCATGTTAGAGCAACTCAACCGCAGGGATATTATGCCAACTAACCCGGCTGACATATTTACAAGCATTTAGGAAAAGTGGCGGTCACTTAAACAGAGATTTAATTATTGGGTTATATATAATTTAATAGTTGAAAAGTGAAATTATCCTCCGCAATCATTAGAATCTCTGTAACGTATGTACCTTTTGCGCAAAGAAACAAAAAAAATGAGAAATCAGGATTAATGCCAACCAGCCTTGAATTCCCCTACTAATAAATTACCTTCCAATAAAATCATCCCTTGTTCTATCTTTATCCCATACGGTTATTTCCAACTTTTGATCAAGATCATCGTACAAATGCAGATCAAATTGTTCCAACCAACGTGGATTAAGCGATCTCCACACTACTCGACTTTTGTATTTTTCATTTGCTATCCTGTCACATTAAGATTTGTTTGTGAAATTGCATTTTCCTGCGAGAGTTGCATACGTACCTACCTAAATTTTACGTAAGGATCTGAAGTTCCGGTATCGGGATCACAGGCGAGCAAGTTTTTACCTTCTATAAGGACAATTGTTACGACAGAACTCCAAATTTGAGATTTTAATTTTCTGTTTACGTCTTGATACCTCGAGTTTCGTTGAAAATACTAAAAAGCGATGAGAACATTTGAGTACGTACAGGGAGTCTTACGGTGAACACCTTTTAGGATATTTCGGAAACTATTTCGATTTGAATTTTGAAAATTTGGACAATAACGTAATTGAATACCCTCTCCGGTTATACTGGAAGTTGACATCAACTTAGTTATTTCAAACGGCTTTGAATTCTACTTACGATTTTAGGTTGACTTTCATAATGCTTTCCTACTTCTAAAATTTACCCTTTTCGAAATATTAACATTTTTTAAAAAAAGAAGCACAAAGCAGTAGATAGCAAAAAAGTATGCCTACTTTACAGTAAAAAAGCTGGAGCAACATTATTCTGGGGAAAGATAGCTATACTCTCCAGCTTTCCTTCTATACTTTCAGAATGGGTTTATTACATACCGGGTGTTAGATATTTAATGGCGGATTAGGTTAATTTCAAACAATCCTAAGGTCATTTTTTCAAACGGGACATCCTGTATGTATTTCCATGGCATTAAACAAAATTTTATTGTCGTTCGAATAATAATAGGGTTCTTTATACCCATCTCCTTTAGTTTTCAAATTACTTACTGCTCTTTGTAAGAGCAATTAAAATCATTAATTTTTTTACGATGATTGCTGGGTATAGGGAACTCTAGAATTTAAGAACAAAGGTTTTCACGGCCGGAATCCATAATAGAATGAAGAATCGGACTATAGGGCCGTGGTTTAAGTGAATTATTCTGTTCAGACGTTTCGTCAGCTACTGCGGCTGACATCGTCAGTGGTAGTGCTGCGTTGTCAACGTGAACGTAGATTATATCTGGAAGTCCCGACAGCGCCTTAGTGGCAGCACTACCACTGAGGATGTCATCCGCAGTAGCTGACGAAACGTCTGGACAGAATAGTTCACTTAGACCACGGCCCTAAAGCCTGAATCTTCATTCAACTCTAGAATTATCCGAACGACAATGAAATTCTGTATAATGCTATGGATATACATACAGGGTGTCCCATTTGAAAAAAACTGAACTTACGATTGTTTGAAGTTAACCAAATCCGCTATTAAATATTTAACACCCTGTATGTAATAAACCCATTTTGAAAGTATGGAAGGAAAGCTTGAGGGTATAGCTATCTTTCCTGAGAATGATGTTGCTCCAGCTTTCTTACTGTAAAGTATGCATGCTTTTTTGTTATCTACTACTCTGTGCTAACTCGAAAATGGTAAATTTTAGAAGTAGGAAAGCATTATAAAAGTCAACCTAAAATCATAAGTAGAATTCAAAACCAACATAATACACAGGGTGTTCCATTTAATATGACGAATTTGATCTCAACTTCCGCTAAAACCAAAGCGCTACATAGATGCCGTTATTTTAATTCAGGAGAGAATCTCCAATTACGCTAGTATCCAAATTTTCAAAATTGAAATCGAAATGGTTTCCGAAATATTCTAATGGGTGATGGTCACCGTGAGACACGTTGTATAATAAAGGTCGGCTGTCTTGCTGTATCAACAATAACAAAAGCAAAGCTGAATTTTCTCATTAAAAGCAAAGTAATGAGCAACCTTTGTGAATTGTAAAACATCGATTGTGTACAAATTATATTATTGCTAAGTAAGACAGTATTCTAAACATTAATCTAGTTGTGTTTCACTAGCAAAAGAGCGATACCCTGATAAAGAGTAGGCTTTCAGATTAAATACAAAACAGTTAGAAAATAATAGGTAAGGAGTCAATATAATTGTGCAATAATACAATACTGTATTGCAATTTTGTATATAAATTTGAACTGTTAAATTTTAACGAATATAAATATTCTGAATAATCATATTTTATTGGAATATTCGGAATTTTTTTAAATAGTAGCTTTTATTAAGTAACACTTGAGCAACTGTACGAGGGATGATCCCTTTGCTTCGTCCCTGATCTATTTAAAATAAAAAATTTACAAATATATTACATTTCTTTTTCAACAAAGTTTCCATAAAAGCCACACCAGAAAATACCACAAATGGCGCGGAAAACGCCATCTGTAGTACGATGCTACATTTTAGGATTACGTATGCTCCAACAAGGTCCATTTAAATATATGGATATCTACTTGCTGAAACGAATCTCGGCGTAGCTAACCTCAACGTGATAGGCACGTTACCATAATCGAATAAAATAATTC